ACCAATGTATCATCCAATATGTTCCCAAGCTGGAGTCAATCTCCATTCTTTTTCTTTCTCCTGGAATATCCTATCATTCCTCATCCGAAGAATCAATCTAATGAGGTGGTAGAGCTGAAGCAGAAGGAATATCAACCGTAGTACCCACAATAGTGTCTACTATATGTGAAGTATGAGTTGCATCTATACCGGATACTTCCTAAAGAAGTGGAGCTACGAAGTTCTCTTGATTATCAGTCTGAACACTGTCATTTGTAGGTAATAGTCCATCAGTATTGTTTTCTATGGGGTTTGAAGGTGCCAACATCACATCACCCATAGTAACAGTAATAACAGTGTCCTCAGGGGCAACAGACACCTCTTGTCTGGTAGTATCCTCCCTAGGTGGAACTAAAATGTCCAGAGCAGTGCGGTTAGACCATCCTTATTCACTTGAACCTTAGATTTCAAATTTGGATGAAACTTGTGGCATTTATCAAGGACGTGACCAAACATCTTATAGTACGTACAATATGGGGTCTGTGCTCCATGACGATTTGTTGCCAATAACCATTATGGGTTGTGTCCAGCCAGACTTCAGTAACATTATATAAAGTAATATCCCTTTCCACAAGTATTCTGGCCACCGAGGATCTGGTTAGCTTGAAAGTAGATAGATCTAGTTTCAAGGGATCCCCAAGGATGACTCCAATAGAATAGAGAACCTGATGGTGAAAAAAATGTAGCTTGAGACCAGGTAAACTAAACCATATCGGTATCGTGAGAGTTTCACGTTTTGGGTAGAAATCAGAAGATCACTTGAGTAGCTTCATAGGTTTACCAGCGATGTTAAGATATTTTCTAGTGAAAATCCGAGTGTAGTCCTCAGGCACGGTTAACTGAATCAATACATGTCTCCCATCTATGAGCTTCACTTTCCACTTTCCTGTTAATTTGAGGTCATCAAAACTTTTTCTGGTAATTTCCATATGTGGGTGTCCCCACTGAAATTTCCCAATAAGAGCAAATTTGAATTTGTCAATCAGCGTTGAAATTTCTGAAGTGAAGAAAAGGTGTTATCTTCCCACTTTTAATGTTTGCATTCTTAATAAAGGGACAGTCACCTGTACCATCACGATGCTCCTTATAACTTGAGCGGAAGATAACCGCCGTCTCCCCTTGAGAATTACCCACTACGTGGGCAAAGTAGGAGATTTTAGCAGGTTCAAACGAAAAAGAAGGAAGCTCCATCACAGCAAAGAAAAAGACCTGCAATTCGAACAGAGGCAAAAAGGAAGAGCCGAAAAGCTGCACAGGAACCAAATGCGCAGAAGACAGAAGACGGCACGAAGTCGTAGCTCAGCAGAGACCGCAGCTCGATCTGCGCAGAAAATAACCGTAGAAGCTGTAAGGCGCAAAGGAGGAGAGGACGAAACCGCAGAGCAGACGCTGAAGCCACGTCGTCGTTTGGCGCGAGACGGAAGACGACGATTCGTCGTCGTTGTCTAGTGCGGGAAACAGCGTCGTCGTCGTCGAGTGCGTATGTCTTAATGTCGTCTGCTTCGTCAAGGCTCTGTTAGGGTTTTGTCTTACCTCGATCGGTATATATAAAACGCCCAATGGCGAATTTTATTGATATTGAAAAGGTACATAAAGGTAGTATAAGAGGACCCAATAAAGGCGTCATACCCATACGATACACAGACACTAACATCCTCAGAAAGATAAGACATAGATAAAACTCTAAAATTCAAAACTCGCAGAAAATAAGCTGTTAAGGATGAGTCAGCTTGGTCTTGCCTCTGCCTCTGGTTCTAGGAACAGAGCCAACTAACAAATTGCTAAGTGTCGTGTCATTACCCGAAATACTAAAGTATCATCCATTAAATTCCCAAGCTGGGGTGTGCTTCCATTCTTCTTTATATATAT